AAGTCATATACTGGCAATCTAAATGTGACCTTGAAATTGACCTTTGACCTACTTTTCACCATGAACTGAATTTTGCAAATTTTGCTTCCCTTTTATCTCCAAAACTGGCTGAGATAGGTCCATAGTTACTATTGAAGTTGAATAGGAAGTCCTATACTGGCAATCTAAGTGTGACCTTGAAATTGACCTTTGACCTACTTTTTATCATGAACTGAACTCTGCTAATTTCTTTCTCTTTTAACTTCAAACTTGACAGAGATAGGTCCATAGTTACTCTTGAACTTGAATAGGAAGTCATATACTGGCAATTTACTGTGACCTTGAAATTGACCCTTGACCTACCTTATGAAGAACTTAAATTTGATTGTACCATATATATTTTTTGCAATAGTTAAAAAATTCTTGTTGATTGCATTTTTACAGCTTGTCAAGCACAAAACTGGTGGCTGTGTCCCTTATTTTGTGTATGTGGGGGTCTATACGAATGCGTTTGCTCCAGCTGGTGGTACAATATTTGGAGGCGGTATCGCCTCTCTGATCCTCTAGTTTCATACAGCGACGTGCAGCTTCTTGTCCCAACCTCGACTTGTCGTCCATCTTTAAGCCAACAAGAATTTTGTTTTATTCTTAAAAAGAAAACAAAACACCAAAAATATAACTCAAATTTTATTTCTAAATAGACTTGAATATACATAACAGATAATAAACGTATGTCATGACATTTGCTCCATTTTTTGCTCGCACCTATTACCCAGCTTAACAGACGACTGGAACATTTCTGCTTTCTAAAAGGTATCCAATACCATTCAAAAGAGAAAGCTGTAATACAATTAACTGAAGCGATAAAAAGGTGTTTATAAATAAAGCAAAATAATTATGCCTGTTAAAATCACATTTGCAAGAATGTTTGTATCTGCTAATAAAGAGCCAAAATTGTTAGCATATAAACTTTTCAGTCTCAAATGCTGGGTCGTCTAGTTTCTAATCTTCCTAGTGTAACCTTCCTGCACTGAAGTAGAAAATGTAGTCAGTGCATTCACCACAACATGCAACTTGAGCAATAAATATTTAAATCCAGTGCATTACATTATTAACAAATAAATAAAACTACATCAACATTGCAACAAAAACAATCCCAGAACTTGGTCTTTGAGATAAATGATGGAGATGTGCATGTTCTGACTATTCCTGGGTGAACACATGCAAAGTCTTGGTCAGGCTAAGGAAATTGAGATATATATTATATATTAGGTTACTACCCACAAAGTTATCATTAGCCAACACAAAAAAATAGCTTAAATTTGTATTATTGGGATCCTAGAGCAGGAAAAAAGGACAGCGCATCTTTCTTCTTTAACTACTGTGTGATATGAAAATGCCTGGGAACTCACACTTCATGATTTCAATAACAAGAAAAAAAATTGATACACATGCAGTTTATCCCACATTTACTGATATTTGATAAAAATTCTTTAAACGTAAAAACTATAATACCAATAAGTGTGTGTTAAGTGAGAAAAGAATCCTTCTATGACTTTATTTTTACCCGTGTTAATTGGGATTGAGATATGTATACTAAATATATATGGATGCCAGTTGACTGTTTCTAAATATATCGCCCACAAGTCTATTTGATTGGCAATTAAGCTAGAGAATAATGAACACAAGGATTAGCACAATCTGGAGGTCAGTATCAAATAAACAAAATAACAAAAATGCAGGCATAAATAAAACTGAGCTTCTAAATAAATCATATTCTATATACCTAATTTGGGAATAAATACTATCATTTCTATTGTTCAGGCCCATGGCAAATTTAGCTCGGCTAGCTGAGGCAGAGGAGAAATGGAGTCCCTTGTCACAAATTTTATTTAGTTAAGTCTTGGGAGTGGTCTGAACACACAGAGCACATCAAAGACTTGCCTGACTTCACCTTCCACCCCTAGCAAACCCCTGCTGTCTCAACGCATGCTTTGAATTTATCTGCTGGTTACTGTCGAGTATTTGAGAATACACTGTATTATCCATTAACTTAAGTAATACTGTATTGCCACTTCAGTAAAACCATGATTTCTTGTACATTATAATGTGGGCTAAACATTTGCTAATAATTGACAATGAAAATACTTTTTTTGAGATTTATCAAAACAAGAAATAAGCATATAATGAATAATGACAGTTGGTGGTGCTGGTGACATGTTTGAGGTTGGGTCGGAGGAGGATATTTTATCAACTTATGGGTATTTTCAGTTACCTGACCCCTAGTTTCAGAGCCATGTCTGTATCATCAACATTGCCCAATGTGACTGAATTGTTACAGAACATGGCTCATGTGCTACTCATGATTAACTCAAATGGGGCTAGCTGAAAGTTTTTTAATTGCATCTTGACAATAACAGTTATTATGTGAACCAACTGTAGCATGATTATGAAAGAACCTGACATAATACCAGTGCTGTCAAAGTGTTCATTTGAAAAAAAAACCCAAATTAAAAAAAAAATTGTACATTTTCGTTTTAATAATCCTGAGCCTCCTGCGAATGCTTGCATTGATTCTATAGTTTCCTGTATGTAATTGACCAATCTTAAGTGCTGTATTTTCTTCACCAATCAACCAATGAGATTTCTCCACACAAGTAATAATATTGCTCGTATCATTCCTGTTGGTCCAGGCACAAGTCACATCGCACAAGGCCATTCTCGTCGCATTGCATGCAGCGTAAGGCGCAGAACTCTGTAGTAAAATGGTTCCTGTATGTGGATTTCTTGCTTCCATGGCACACACTACATGGGACGTATCTATACCCACCACACTTCTCACACATCTGGTTCACTGTGATTTTCTGGAAGAAAAAAAAAAAAAAATTCATCAAAAATTGTTATAAATCATGTCTGAGGCTGTCAGCGACCAGGCATAATCATTTTGCCACATTTCAGTCTATTGCTAAAAACAATTGTTGACTTGATGGTACATCACTATTTGTAAATTTCTCACTGACAGGATTAAAAAATGGTTATTACTGTTTTTAAGAAAAAGCTTTAAAAATTGATTGATCCATGCTCCAAGGAATTATTCTTCACACTTTGTATGTCCAGGTTCTGCTCTTCAAAAACATGGTATACTTTGTAACAAGCCTTTTAGTCCAAGATTTTTTAGTCATAAACATGACCATGTTATGTTGTCATTGCAGCTGTGTACAGCTCTATACATATCGTGACAACTACAGATGGCTTGGTACACTTCAATCTAACTAACTGCAGTTGTCACATTACAAGTTTATTTTTTAGAAAGGGCGAGGCATTTGAAATATTCTGCAAAAAGAATAATAATCAACATATCCTGTTTGAAGATTTTTCCTTCAAAAACCAATAGCCATTTATATTACAAAAATAAAAGCATCACAGCATCACAATATTTAGCCTGTGAAATGGAAGAAAATTAACCATCAGATGACAAAATGTGATTTGTAATATTTCAATCAATAATCTACAGTTATAAAAGCTTTCAAAAAGGCAAAAAAATTATGAACTTTTATTATATAATACGTATAAATTACGTAAACACACTTTTGGGTTTCAATGAGAATTATACACTCACCTTGAAATGTCTAAATATTTTTCTTAATTCTCCTGATTCATTAAGGTTATCTAATGCTTCAACACCCTGCAAGAAGAAATATGAAATTTGAAAAAAAGTTTAAAAACTATAATTAAATAATTTCATATCTAAAATTTCTGACAGTTTAATCTGAAAACAAGAAATTAAATATCATGGTTGTTCACATACATATAGAACTTAAATATACAATTTTGACTGTGCTTGGTATCTTTATCAAAGTAAATTTGAAAACTTCACATGAAATTATTAATACAAAATGCCACAACATATTGGCTTTTTATATAATTTCAAATCTGCAATAAACCATTCATAATGAAAACCAAAAGGAAAATGTAGTCAACAGATTGTCACTGACAGTATTAGTATGATCAGCCAGATTTCAAACAGTTTACATACTCCAGAGTGCTAGATCTGTAGTGAAGTAGTTAAATGAAAACAAAATTATCTAGTACCCTACTTTCTACAAGGTGACTTCTATACAAAATAAGGGGGAGGAGTAGACATGAAGAATGCCTTTGCAGGTCCACCAAATTTAATATCGTCATTTTTGCAATTTTACGATTGCCTTGTTTACAATCCTCACTTTGCTGTCTTTCGGTAAGAGAACAGTCAACACAACCAAATCCACTTATCCTGGAGAGCAAACAAGCCAAAGTTCTGTCAATAGCTCAGCTTGTAACAAGACAATAGGAAAGTATCAATAGTTTACCTCGTTCCCCTCCATTTGTCTCAGTACGGGTCAACCTAAAGTGTAACATGTCAACATGGCATTGTATTGATCTCAGATCAGACTTTGATCTTTGCTTCATTGTATACAATCATTGATCTTGAGTCTCTCTTGAACATGTAATAACTATTTAGGCCATGTCTCAGCTTGAATATTGCGACTGTGGACTCAAAATGTTCAATCAATTCTGTATCACATCTCCACCCATGTTAGAAATTACTGTTCCATTCTCCATAGGTTAAACATGTCATATGCGATGTTCTATCATATCTTTGATGTTTTTCCCATAAATGTGACAGACTATTACAGTCAAACATATTGTGTTTTGTCTTTAAATAAACTGAATACAAGTCCTATTTTGACATTCCAATTTTTTAATTTCTAAAAATTACATTAAAAGTTTTGAGCTGGATTTTCTAATACTTAGTAATTAATTTTTATCAATTTGATATATATTATTTCAGTTTTCTCTCTTTATAGAACACTTTGGGTTAAATACTGAAACATATCAAATTAATAATTCTTTGACATCCAAACCTGACAAAAAATCTTACAGTAGCTATCATTTACCAGTACCTACTGGAGACCAGCAACAAACAGATTAGGCCAAAGCTGTAGGTGATATATACCAGTAAGCAATATCCACCATCCCCCAAACTCCCACCCCCATTAACCCCCTCCCAAGCCCTCCTGGGCCACTCATCTGGGGTCATGCAGCCCTCATAGTAAGATAATTTGGGGAACTTCTGAAGGAAGCACATGATTGCCTCAATCATACTTATCTATCAGTTTGAAAGCAATAAAAACATCATCACCTAAGTGACAGAGGCAAAGTGAGGTCAATGGATAACAGAAGCTACTCTCTTTCCCTTAGCCATGTTAAACAAATGGGAACTCAAAAGCTGATTCAGTAATTAGTCAGGTACTTATTACTTTGACATGAACATTTGGGGAATAAATTTGATTCTCTAGAACGTGACAGGTTTTATTCATCAACTTGTATCACTCTAAAATTTATAGGAATGCAACTTCAGAAATAGCTGGTTTGAAGGACTATTCCATGTAAATAGCAAGATTTATGAGGAAGCTCTTGTAATCACCAATGACGCACACCTGGATTAAGATAGAAAATACAAACTAAACACTTGAATATCAGTGTTATCAATTCTGATGACATTCAGGTATAGCCTAGAGATAAAATCCTTGTAATCAAACAGACACTTGGGGATTTTAAAATAATAACATCCAGCTGTGCCTGATGTGCTTCTTCCATTAAGGCTTCGTTCACATGCAATGTCTATTTTCTAATTTCTATTTTCTATTTGCGCTATCTTATGATCACGGTCTGTGCCCTGAATATCCCGCCGCGTAATTACTGGCAGCGCGAGCCAGTTACTTATAGTAACTTATAGTAACTGGCTCGCGCTGCCAGTAATTACGCCGTGGGATATTCAGGCCACAGACCGTGATCATAAGACATACCGCAAATAGAAAATAGAATTTAGAAAATAGACATTGCATGTGAACGAAGCCTAAGTGTGTGTGTGTGTGTGTGTGTGTGTGTGTGTGGGGGGGGGGGGCTTTATCAAAATTAAGCATTAAAATTTGCATATATTAATTAGAAAGTATCTCCAAGAGACTGTTTCCATTGCATTTTTATATGTCAAAATCTCTTCACTTTTTAAAACTTCAAAACAAAAATGTATATAGTTTTATAGATGACATCACATAATCTAAGATCAAATACTCAACTATTTGTGGTTGACCCATATTTCTTTGCAACCACACATTACCAAGCGTGGATTAATGTCTAAAATGAGACAAGGAAATAAAAATAACTAACTAGATGTAATTTACAAACTGCTTCAGAAATTATTTTTACCAGAATGATCAGTCACTCAGTCCTTTCATACACAGGGAATTCATCTAGCCTTGGGATTATTTATTGATTTTTTTCAGATTCAGCCGCAGGTAGAATGTAATAGGTAATGTATTGATTCCACTGTATTTTAGGCTCATTGTATATAACCCAGATAGACTGATGATTATGTCTGCTTTGATAAGATACAATACACTGGCAGAGCTTAAGAAAAGATCAGGAAATGAAGAAAGCGGGAAGGGGTCTTTTTTTATCTCCATCCCCACCACCAATTCCAAGTTTTAAAGCTTAAACACTTTTCTTTAAACTAATCTAAAATCTGGTCGCAGTTGCATAGTGCTGTCAGGTGTAATTTTTTCTGTAATCAGACAGAGTCATCTGTGGCCAACAAGACACACAACACCTGTAGGTGTGAGATGAGTGATTCATTGCCTATGTCCTGGTTATTGGGAAGGTATTAATTAAGTTTATCATAGATTTAAGGAGATCAAATTTTGATAAATGGCTGTCAGAAGAAGATATTGTATCTGGTTTCATGAGATGATAATATTTTTGGTTTTGATATGCTGGCATAGTTGGTCAACCCACGTAAAAAAAAAAAGAAATAAAAAAAAAATAAAAAAAATCACCAATCCATTGCCACATGTAAAAAAAGAATTAACATGAAATAGTTACTGCCCTCTGTTTTGACCATGACAGATAATTTGATGATATAAACCTAGGGTTTGCATTAGCCATATTTTAGCTAAATACTGAAAAAAATGTCAACAAAAGTAATTTGAGCCAATGAACAAATCTTGATTGGCAAATAAAAAAAGAAAGAAAAGGACAGTGCTTTAATCATGGGCCTTGGGAACCTGCATATATATATATATATATATATATATATATATATATATATAAGAAACAGACAAATTAATATGACCACATTCACAGACAAATTTGTAGCAGATATACAATATGTCCACCAGAGGTCAGTCTGACCACGTCTATTTGTACGTCAGCCCAACTGTCAACAGCAACTTTGTCACAAATACTGTCACACCCCAATCCGGTGACTAGGTCTAATGGCACCCAAGGCTGTCATTAATCACTGGAATATGATTAACTTAACTTGGCAAAAATCAATAAACTCTATTTACTTAATTTTTGCTTTTATTAGTTGCAAGGCATTGATAAATGACACAGTAGTAGGGAGGGGACAGGATTTTATGGTTTTATAATATTTGCATCCATGACCAATGGATTTCTTTATAATTTCACCTTACTTCTTGTAAAACAAAATCCATAAACACTTGGAAAAATCAAGAAAGTTGCTCAGAAAAATAAAAAAAATTCATTCATATAATCAAAATTATCAATGAGATAGGTTTTCATCTTTTTTTTTCAGGCTCATCCATACCAGGTTAATAAAAAAAAAACACTTTAAAATATATATCTGTTAACTTAAATTTCCCATTCATTTTGAACTTTGAGAAAAGGTAACTATAATTATCTTACCCCAAGCAAGACCCCATCAGCAAACACCTGCGGCACTGTGACCTCGTCCTCCCCCAGCCTCTCTATCAGCTCCTTCTGGTGATCTCGGTTCATAAACACATCTTTTTCCTCAAAGCGGACCATGTGGTTTTGTAGAATATATCTCACTTTTTGACATTTTTCGTATGTGTCTCTTATAATTCTCATTGTGGTTGTATACACCACTATTTTTCCTTTCTCGAGGACTTTGTAATTTTTCTGAAAATAAAAGGAAAAGTACATTTGCCATTATAATTATCACATGCATTAAGGTGGAATTAAGACACCATTTAGAAACAAATGGCAAAGGAGGCCAAATATGTTACTGTCTTCCTGCCAGTCAGCATTAAAATCAAATTAAGCAGATGAAATTTCAAGGAAAAAATAAAATCATCAAACATGTTGCACATATTAATGCAAGATGTTACCAGTTAATGATACAAGCAAAAAAAGTTTCTCAGTATAATTCCAAGTGCGGAATCAAGAAATCAATACATGGTACAAAAGGAAGAAAATCTGATTTTTGTCTTACAAAATGCCATTCATGTTATTTCAATATACACAAACTTTGACAATATTTAGTTTACAGATAGCCATTTTACAAAAGAAATTAGTACTAGGACAGTAAGAGCATGCAAACATTTAATTTCTTTACTTTGTAATAAAAAAAATTGCACTGATGCATGGATTTAAATCACCACTATAACTTTATTTTCTTTCAAAGATGAAAGGAAATCTAACAACACCTAAAATTTGTCTATATGACATGCATACAATAATAAAAGTCCATTCAAGTGTAAAATCTCCTATCTATGACACACTTTATTAAATACAATATTGTATAGTTTAGGATCAGAAAAATATAGCATCCTCTCAAAGTCAAATGTGCCATCTAGTTCCATTAATACAAATTGAAAAAGTTGCCCTCTATTTAATTAATTCTCACCCCACCAATACAATATTCTTGTCCTAAACCGTTTCACGTCACATAAAGTTCTCATAAAAATACAACCCATTTAAGGGCCATTAATGTCCTAGTTTGCCACCATTAAAGTAAGTCTATGCCTTCCCACCCGTGGCTATAATAGTCAAGTTCACCATTTATATCTGTTAGGGTTCAGAGACAGTGAGAGGGCAAACGTAATGTGCTGCTAATAGGTTCCCTGTGATGCTGCAGTTTCCAAGCACTGTCTGTTAACATTCTCAGACTTCTACCATCAATTGCCATTATGCAAACCAGATTACACAAAGATTAATCCACTTCTTACATGACTTTTTTCTCCTTCACTACATGTCACAAATAAGAGGCAAAGGTTATTGGACAAGTCTTATATAACTATATAGTTTTAAATTACAACAAAATCTACTTTGTTTCATTAACAATTCACCTCATCTCATTACAACTGAGTAAAAATTAAATTTACATTCTTCAGATCAACAATACGAAGTTTAATTCACACATAACATGTGTTCATCACATGGCACAAAAAAAGACAAAAATTTACCAAGCTGTGTGAGGTACAAAACTGGCATAATAAGTGTTAACATGCAAACATTCAATTTAGTGAAATGTTATCCATTAAAACGTGAATAATTATATAACTGCTACTCTTTTTTTTAACTGCCTCTACTGTGTGCAGGTATGATCATCAGACCAGGTAATTGCAACATCACAAAAGTTTTAAAATGAGGCATTAAGAATGTCTTCCTTAATTCCACTTATAATTATTGCTAATGATAACATTAAGGCAACAAGACACCTATTGTAGGTGAGGCATTACATAGTGAGTCTCCCGTATATTGTTGATTTTGCATTAGGCAAGAAAATTTTTAAGTGACAGGATTTCATACTCATTTTGGACAGTAAATGGAGAGATAAATTGAGAAATACTAAATTAATATCATCATTCCAAAATATACTCTGATGGTTTTACTGCAAATGCATGAGATGCTTTTCAAAATTTCTTGTAATGCATGGACATATAGTGACACAAAGTTACCACAGCATTTTCCTTCTAAATCAGTAATGAATCATTTCAAAATTTGTATAAACAGCGTACACAGAAAACACAAAACTGATCAATATGCATGTGGAGTGATAAAGAGTAAAATAGAAAACAGAGAAATTCCACAATACATTAAATATCATAAATAAAGATAAAGGTAAAAATACCAACTGAATGTGCAGTTATAAAAATGACATTTTCCATGTAAAGAGACAAGTAAAATTTCACCCTCTCTACCTAAGAAAGATATGTCACAATGAATAAAAAACTACAAAAAAGGCATCTAGGCTCAGAATAGCATAATATATGATTGTCATTCCACTAATTCTGAAGATAGTCGACTCTGATTTAAAAAGTTATTGACACAATTTGTTCAAATTATCTATCATACTATGAAAAATAATTCATCAAAATTGTGTCAAGGGGTTTAATTTCTTTTACATTTATGGTAAGAAATACATTTAATTTAGTTAAAAACATATATATGCTAGATTGACCCTTCAATAAACTATATGTTTCTACAATCAACTTCTCTATTTAAATACCCGATGACATAAAACTGCATTCCCATCATCCATTTAATCAACATGACATCAATTCATAAACACAAAATGATGATTATCTTAATGGTCATAGTACAATGTGCCCCTTGGTAGTAATACCAGTGACCGTTGTGATCTCTAGGCTTCACTAATTAACTAATCAGTGTGATAGAGTACTATGTGAACACTAGCACAATGTTCACAACCACAGAAGTCGCAATTACATTGAAGATAAGTCAACTTTTCTCATTTCAACCCTTATCTGCATGTTCCTTATCAGCTACACTAAAATCCGCTCAAAACAATCCCTCTACTCTCTGGCCAATCACCATGCTCATCTTTGGGTTCTGCAAGGGACTGGCTTCAGAGACCAGAGGGATTTTATTTGTAATTTTGGCTAAATCAGATGACCAGTGGAAAGAACTGACCTATTTTCAATGTAAACTCGACTTTGTTTAGACTCGGAATAGACTAAATGACATCACTACATGGCCAGATTGCTAATATGGAAAATGAAGTCTCCACAAAGTCTGGTGGTCTTAGGCGACATCAATTAGTTCATTACAGGTCCAATTTAGACTGGTTGTGAATGTGCTTTTAGGTAGAGGTGCAGCACACAGACCACATGATACATGAGAACACTGTCACCTGAATGCTTTATGCCATTTACCTGTACCAACCACTACAAGGACAGGGGGGAAGACTTTTATAAATGATGTCTGGGTTTAAACAAATTTGCAAATTAAAAGAAATTTAGTATTTCAGATAATGAAATATTTAAAATGCACAAAAATGGGACTGTTTATGCCTCAATCTTTTTTTATTTTTTCACAAATCAGATCTGGAGGAATTAATATGCTATACTGTATTAGTATGATAGTTTAGATTCAGGTGACACTGTTCCCCATACTGTGTGTGCATGTGATACATATATATAATGAAGACGTAACTTCCACACAGAGCCAAGATATACCTACCTGGATACCTTCATTATCTTCCTGCAGGGGCAGATAGCACAAGATAACAGTAATATTAATACAGATTGATTTCACAGGTGGGATTACTCTAGTGGCATACCCCACATTGTAGCCCTAAGTGGATACATTGTTGCTATAATTGTAACAGTAAATTCCTTTTGGTAACAAATTCTTAACTTTGTGGCACTTTGACCACCACCAGTATAAAAGGTAAGGCACTGTCATCAATATTATACATACACACCTTATGTACCAGCATACCTTCCTTATTACAGGTGAAATAAAAACCCTGCCTGAGTATTTGATATTCAGGTTTGGTCAATTGCAGTTAAAAATGACAATATGGTCCAAATATTTTAAAAGTGAGGGAAGAGGGGCACTGCTTTAATCATTGTTCTCTTACAGAAGTATTGAAATGATGATGATGAATTCTTTTTACAAATCTTCAGCAAAGTGGTTACATCTATATGCAGTATACAGAATCATACAGAAAGAATTGAAAATTTTCGAATAGTTGACTTTACAGATTCAAAGAGTTAATTAAACCTTTAATGCACATTGGTTACTCTGCAACCTAAGAATGTGACTTCATGTCTATTAAGTATTATCTCTCAGCCCTTTGCTGCACACAAACACAGCATATTGACATGAAATATTGCACCTATTGATTTTAACATAGGTGTGACTCCCTGGGTAATAAAACACTGCTGGTGAATCTGTCACAACCAAGACCATTCATATATATATATATCATTATGTATTCAGTTTTCAATTTTTTCTTGTTAAACAGTTTTTTCTAAAGAACAAATTTCAATTATAAAATACAAATTACAATAAAAAAAAACTTAAAAACTATTGTCAGTTTACCTGTACATGTCTGATTACAAATTACAACTGAGTCGAGAGAGACTGATTATTTAAAGTTATGTCTTTAACCCACTGTTTCAAATCATAAGCAGATTAAATGTGAGATAAAGCTTGTTGAAAAATTGTATAAATCCCTTCATTTACAGATAACACACACAAATATTGATGACTCAATTACTAGAATATAATGTAAACCAAGCACTGGTTTGTGGGCAAACAAACCTTCCATTTGATTAGGCCTAATGATCTTGCATTCTGACCGCTAAACTAATCAATAAAAGTGACATTAATAATGGAAAAGTTTATTTCATCCACATGCAATGTCAGGCCAACTGCTAGTTTATTAGTTTTCATGAGCCAAGAAACCCTTACAGTAATGTTGTTGATGCAGTTTCAGCATTGACATTTATACCATCAAGAATGTGCAGACAACTATATAATTGCCATTGTTGCGTTGCCATACATGGAATATTATACTGTTAGAGCAGCTCTAATAATGTATGTAGGGGCAAGTGCTTGAAAGGAACTTGAAGCAAGTTGTTGTTTTCAACTATAAAACCAATTTTGTAAATTTTGGTCTATTTTATCACAGGCTGAATAAGATGTTTCCCACTTAATTGGGACATCTGAAAGATTTTTTTAAAAGAGATCACTATTTCAAAAAGAAGCTTTTTTTGCAGAGGACTGCATGCTCATGATTTATCCAAGGATAAAATAGACTAATATTTGTCTGGTCTCCCCAACTTTACACTTTAATTCTTTGATAAAACAGTCAAAAAATTATATTGATTTTATATTAAATACTGTCACAAAGAGAAAACCGGATGCATGCAGACATCCATTAGTAAAACAATAATTACAATAATAACGCAATTTAATGTCAAAGCTACAAAGTGTCCAGACAGTCGCTAACAATCATATGTTCTTTTTGAAGAACAACTTGTAAACAGTGTGAACAGCGCAGCGTTGTGTGCAGGCGCCTATTAAGATCTCAGACATAAGGAGATGTCATTGTTACTTTTAGTCTGCTAGAATACTGCATGAAAAATTAGACAGAGACGGATCAAGCAATTAAAATGTCCATTATCAATGACTGCCTTGCATGTACTACTGGTTTCAAGTAAGATTAAAATTAATTCGCTCCAACATGCTTGACAACTTCATCAATCTAACATGAATTCTATGCATTCCTATTAAAAATCATTTTCCTTAGTTTTTCAAGGTCTTCATTTAACAAAAAATTAAATATGGCTGGGAAAAATTATGAATCTTGATGATATAGGAACCTTCTTTTTTCTTGGGGGGGGGGGGGGGACAAACTTTAGACTAATTGTCTAATACAAAGGACATTATGTGGTTGCTAGGTATACATTATCATTTACCTTGTTTGGTAAGTGGCTGCCTATCAGTGGTTTTTTAGTCAGACATACTGAATGGGACACCCCCCCTCTCTGTCCCTCTCTCTCTGACTGGACCTTTTTCAGTAAGAGTAGAAGTGTCAACAGAGTTGCAAATATGAAAGGCTATTAAGGTACTTACATATTATGTTTCTCATGTTCTTAACTTTTGGAAAACCTATTATTTGATTTACCTGGGATCACCTATCTCAAAGAATAAAATAGGCTACTCGTCTTTATTAAGTTGTATTTCTAAAAGGCTATGCTTGACTTCTGAAGACTTTTCAGAACACGGGTACATATATGAAAACTGAATGCACATATATTAAGGAATTCCAAGCAAATTTCCTAAAAACTAATTGACTGCAATTTTGTACAAGTATCCTGTATTGCAAAGCCACTGAATTTTAGTTTTTTTTCTAAGCCTAACCTACTTTCAAGAGAAAAGCAGGAAGAAAATTTTGAATCCCAAGGTAAACTTCTACTTTTTACAACCCTAGATTTCATCTTTAGTAATCCCACATTAGTATCATGTGCATTTCTCCCTGGTACCAGTTTTATTCCAATAAAGACTCATGTTTCACTGATAAGATAGTGCTAAGTCAACTGAAGTGACACAATTGCGTGTCATCAGCCCAGATTTTTTATAAACAAGACTGTTAGGTGGGATGCAAAGGTATGGAATCAACAGTTCTTCCTGGTTGACAATCTTTGAGCTCTGCGGTGGCTGTGCTAGGGTATTATAATAGGTTCTGGGTTGACACTTAATACAAGTACACTTACTCCACTCTTCTTTTTATCTTCAATAATCAAAACAGACAGCCAAGAAAATTTGGAAAAACAAATTAATCAGTTCATTTTTTATCTGAACAGATTAATTTGCTTCCTTATTGAACAGATTTAATCTAACGATCACGATCAGGGCTAGCGCTCTATTGTTAGCTCTCTAATTGAACACGTCTTGTAAATAACTGTGGGTATTTGGCAAAAAGTGATCGTTTTCGCACGTAACTTCCCATTATGGAGCGAGACGTGGACAGTTTGGTAACAATTCAACAAATTCCACCTTTTTGTTTGATACTTAAAAACTGTGAACATATTCTGTTTATAACAAAATAGGGCGAAAATAATGCCTACTCTTAACATCCATTTCATAACATAATGCTCTGCCCTTTAAGTAGCCTTCACTGCTTTTGACATAGAAAATCAATACAGGTGTTCCTACCTTGTTTTTATCTTGCTGTTCCAGAAACGTGACAATGCCTGCCCGTACCCTGTTTTTGAAACCCCGAACAGTCCCCTTGCCACTGACAATAATGTGTTCTTCCAGCGCAGACGTGTTCAACATGTCCCTCCGGCCGGCAAAAATTGAGCTTTTGCCATTTTTACCGTCCTCCACGCTCTCATCGGCAAACCCGTTCACATAGAAATGTTCGTTGAAAATATTTTTCACGTGGGGTCTACTATCTTCCCCATTTTCTGGATCTTTTAATGGCTTCGGATGGTGGTTTTTTGTCACCTTTCGACTTTTCTGTTCGGGACTACGATTCTGTGGTTTTGACTGTACAGGCGGCGCATAGCCATTTTGAAACCTGCCGCACTCCACTATATCTGTTCGATCTATTGTGTCGATTATAGTAACCGGCGCCTTCTTCTCACTTTTAGTGTCCTCAACTTGGTCTAGTTCACAATGCGCCGTGTCTCTGAAGATTCTTAACCAGTCTGGAGATTTTCTCCTCCGTTTATCTGTAGCGGACATGCTTCCTGATTTCCTCACCAACTGTGACAGTGCTTGGCATGTGTTGCGGGTGGAGTTCCCAGCTGCTAGTTGGTCACGTGACAGATATTATCAACCAGGATTCCCCCTATTCTTCATTCATGCACTAGACACTGGGTGTAATTTTTACTCCTTGGCAATAGTATTTTTTTCTATCAATTAAATAAAAGAACACATGTTAAGTACCACGGGCTACGCATTACATGCTAAGCTTACGATCAGCTGATCACGACAATTTCTATAAGAAAGTTATTGTCATTATGGCCAACACGGTGAAATGTCAGGTGAGACAAATGTGCTAGCTGAGAACATCCGAGCACAATCGCTTTCCTTATAGGGTTGCAATCTAACTTGGTCTGCCAATACTTTTTTTTTTAGTTATATGCCATTTTGATTTTAAAAAAAACTTCCTTTAATCATGTTTAATATAAATTGCATTCATTGCAGTGCATTAAAACAACAGTGATATTTTTTTATGCAAACACACAATGCAGGTGTACCGATGAAGCTTGGTTGCAACAGAGGGTCATTTGGTGGTTCTGGAATTTTTAAACTTTATTTTACTTGTAAGTGGTCCAGACTGTCCTAGCAGGCTGTGGATTGACTCTGGTTGTCAATCTGAGATAGAAACCAGATTTTTTTCTTTTATTGAGGAATAATTTTCTTCCTTGCTCTAGCATTTCATTTTCACATAAGCACATTCCGAATTATCTTGCATAACATGCAAATCTATTCAAAAATATTTTTCTAGCTCCCCTATCCTTATTAAAAATCAAATCCAAAACAGCTTACTCCATATCATATCTTTCATTTTTCTTTATTATTTTATACTTTACATTACTTTATTATTTACAGTAAAATGAACATCATCTTTTGTTCAGCAGAGAATTTAAACATCACATAGATCACCAGACAATTTCAAAGTGACAAGTGACATCATCTTCCACAAAATGAAACTACCCACTAAATATTGCATATGTATATACTGTAAGGAGGTATTTACTAATATCTTAGAAAGTCATACAGACTCCATGCTTGGATCTCAATATTTCATGAGATAACGCAGGTCTTAGGTTAAAATAAAATTTAATATCATCGTTTTATATTTTTACTAGTCATAGACTACAGAACAGCATACCAAACACTGCATAAGCAGACAAACACATGAAACAGTGATCACTTCCAAACAAAATGTCCAATATAAACTTGGTCACAGCACTTGCAATGTTTCAAATTTCCACATACATATGTGTTTTGTCAAAGCAGCTGATCCAGGAGTGACTTTTGTTTCAACAACTAGCTAAGGCCTGTGTTTCGTCCGAAAAAGGAGCTCTTGGATCCCAGTTGTAATTTAAAGTCAGGGTGGATAATATGCCTTCTTCTCTAAAATCTGCATGTACAAACGATATGTCAATAGCCATCCAATTTTATATATGATCTCTTTTTTCATTTCAAATCCATAAGATGTCTGTAAAGCTCTCTAATACAACTACACTACATTCTATTTTGCCATTTCACATTGCCCTTGATAGTGTATCACTGTCTATATACATTTTATTCATATCACAAACTGTTTCCTTTTTTCTTTTCCAATGTCTGTATACAAGAGCCATGTACTGCTTCCCGTATCATCAATGTACTTCACTTATGCACTGCGCCTTAAGTGCAATTGTTCTTATGTCACACCTCTTTCTCTCTCGTTCTCTCCCTCCATTAACATTGCTACATTTTGTAGTAAGCTCTGCTGTCGAAGATCACCATTTTCTTCTCTCACTAACATTGACTCTTTTAAATACTTAAGTTAACCATGGTTCAAGCAGAAAACAATGGGTTGGGCTGTGCACTATTCACATAGAGGCACAGCATGCAAAAATACACGGAATAGAGCATGGCATTACAGAATGCTATCCACTTTAACTACAGTTTAAGTCACATGAAGCACTTGTCATGAAGCTTTAAGAAATATAGTTGTCCTGGTGCCAATTATCAAGTAGCCTATTTGGCAAAAAGCTACACAATCTGTGCTTTATCTATTACTTAACATACACTTGTCCTTGACATACACTTGTCCTTAACATACACTTGTCCTTGACATACACTTGTCCTTAACATACACTTGTCCTTAACATACACTTGTCCTTGACATACACTTGTCCTTTTTTTATAGCTTCATAAATATTTAGGACCTACAAATTAAATTAAACTAAAACAGCACATGAAGAATTATCCGTCTTTTTTACCTGAAATATTTGGATACTTATGTTCGGTAATATGCAAGCCCAGCTTTTTATTTGTCACTCATAACATTATGGTTTTGTATCATTAAAGCATAGTTTTCATTATATATACATATATATATATATCAAGGAATGCTGTGTGTATTATATCAATATAAAAGCATAGATGAACCAAAAAAATGTCACTAATAAATAATATACACTTGCTTACAATATAATGACAATATAAAAGACTAAAGCAACATTTAGACAGGACCTATCTTGACAGGGAATGAGTCTCACTTACATCACTGGACACAATACTTAACCAATTGCCAATTTAAATCTCTTCTTGTTCAGATAAAAAATGTTCCACAAAACCCATACTTAGGTTGCAATCCTAATATCTTCCACCCCTCTTTCCACAGATATCCTGAGGCGATTTTCAAACCATCTCAACAGACCAATGATTACAATTTTTAACCTTAAAGAAGCCAATCTTACATGTATCTGGTCATTATCCCACCCACCTCCAACTGTGACTGAGGCAAGTCAAGTGATATTACATTAACTGTCTATGTTAAGAAATCCTCATCACACAGACTGCTGGGACATTCCACATTAAGTCCAGCCTTCCCAACCCAACTGGAAATGTGGCCCAAATTCTCCCTATAACCTTGTCAACCAATGATGCAAATAAGGTCAATTTCCAGTCTGCAATGCAGTCTAGTCTGGGGCTTCTATGGATATAAAGGGTACAGTTAACCTCTGAGGTTCTTCTATATTTTTCTTTGAATTACTGCTGCCAGGTTTTTTCACTTCAGTGTTCTCTTGGGGCTCTGTAACATTTTGTTCACTGTCATCTTTTTGTATTTTGTATGAGATGTTTCCATATTCCTGAAGTAGTGGACAAACTCCTAGCACACACTGGCAGAAGTCTTTCCTGATGCCAAACCACCCTGGAATGGAAGAATGATTTCAAATTAGAAAATTTTTTAAAAATATCATTTGATATTAACGATTCATCAAAACATTTTACACTGAAATACAATAAGGAAAAAAATATATGACCATGAGGTTCACCGCTGAACATTTGTCTTGCCAGATTAAACACATTTAATGACAATGTGACATGCCAAAAAATAATTTTAAAGAAGCCGACAGTCTGCAAGAACTTAAGCTTAAGTTGTTTACACCTGGTGGTGATCCCTCCCTTGAATTCTAATGTAACATCCATCAAAGATATTAATTCTATTTATCCAAAAAAAGGCAAAGCTAGTCGGTGAAAACCCCATACATTCATAGGTATTTTAGTTAACCAGTACTATGGAAAATTGCATTTTCTATGCAACAGTGGGACAAATTCAAACAGCTTCAGCTCTACATGGATGCAATGATTACTTACAATGGTTTCCTCCCTTAGCCCCAAAAGTCATGCCTATCAGAGCTAACAGAGCAATATAGAATGGTAATGACACAGCTACATAGTAGGAGTAGTTGGCAGGGTGCTCCAGCTTGTTGGCTAGCAGTATCTGAAAAATATCATACCGTATGGATGGCATTCACTGTTCCACTGTTAATTCAGTACAATAAAATACCATTATCATTTGTTGACATATTCTTGTAGACAGCATTTATGCGTGAAGACTTACTATGAAACTTTTATCAGTGAATGTCTGGACGTCTTTTCAAAAATCTATTCTATTTTTTTTAGACAAATGGTTATTTAAATTCAAATCATGACAAAACATTTAAATTTACAAAGAGTGAGGTTGTGATTGTTTAAAACTTCTTCTGAAATGACAAGTGGTCAAGATAATAACAACACTGATAAAGTACAATTATACAAAATACAGTAACTAATAACATTCAAGTCACTTTCATTGAAACTGTCATCTACATATTATTTATAGAAACAACATATACCATAAACAGGGGCGGATTTAGGCCGTCTTCTGGGTCTTCCGGAAGACGGTCAGATTTTCAAGTTTACATTGACGGGTATCTATTTTTTTCTGTCGGAAGACGGTCAAAAATTGGAAGTTGGCTCAACAAAGATAATTTGGAAGACTGTCAGAAAATATCTCTGGATCCGCCCCTGATAAACCAATGAAGAACTTACCAGAAAAATCAACATTGGAATGACTAGAAATGTGTATCCCAGTGCTGAGCAGGCATTGCCCCTCCTCTGCTCTGGTATAATGTCTGGAGACTTCATAAGAATTATGGCCAATATAATAACATACAGCACCCCGATCATTGCCACACACATCAGTATCCACAGTGGGATGAAAACAATCTAAAATGATAGCAAAGAATTTATATCAAAGCATGCAGCAACCTTGTCAGTAATAATATATGCTTGGAATACCTTTGTGTATAGTTATCAATCCTGAAACCAAGTTTAATTACCTGACTTATGGTACATTAATCACTTATATCTTTAAGTTTGTCCTGCAATTATCTATTCAACTTCAATATCAAATATTTGGATAAATATATCTCACTTTCCATACTATTCAATTGCTAGCAACTAATGTATCTTGTACTTACCACCCAGTTCCACATAATAAACCCATCAAACCGCAACGCTAGGAATATAAACTGTAAAATGTTCACAGCACAAAACAGCTCCATCTAAAAGAGAACAACTGAACATAAATAGAATTATCCTCTGTGCTGATACAGAATAATAACTATATTATGTATGCAGAGATAAAACAAAAACCAAGTCAAACAATATATTAAAATATCACAGAACCTTTCTTCAGAGAACATCACCCCCCCCCCCCCAATCATTCAGTGTAGAAAACTTGGGTGCCCTTTCATATTAGTTCTCTAGGTTCCTTATATACTTAAACATTTAAAGACCTATGAATCTCAATGTATCATGTTCCTTCATACCAAACAGCGAGCATTTTTCTGTACAAAATACATATTCATGATATACATGAAATGCACTTCGTTTGAC